AATATTGTTTTGTCATGCATGATCTTGTTAATGATTTAGCTCAAGCTGTGTTTGGAGATTTCTGTTATATGTTAAAGGATGGCAACCCATATCATATATCTAGAGGAAAATTTGATGGCTTTGAAAAATACAAGCTAATTAATGAGGCTAAGTTTTTAAGGACTTTTCTAACACTAGAGCGTGTGGACGATTCTAATTCGTGGTTGAGCAAAAAGGTTTTGGATGATATTTTGCCGAACCTAACATGCTTACGGGTGTTGTCTTTGCCATGTTATAAGATTATGGAATTGCCTCATTCAATTGGAAATTTACTACATCTATGGTATTTGGATCTTTCTTACACAGAAATCAAACAATTGCCTGAATTAGTTTGTACCATGTATAATTTAGAAACACTATTGCTCTATGATTGTTATCAGCTCACTACCTTGCCGGTAAATCTTCAAAAACTAATTCAGTTGCGCTATCTTGATATTACTGGAACTAATTTACAGGAGATGGCAATGCAAATGAGTCAATTAAAAGGCCTTCAACTTTTAACTGCCTTTGTGGTGGGCAAGTCCAAGGGGTTATGTATTGAAGAGTTGAAGGAGTTTCGTCATCTTCAAAGGAGGCTCTCCATTTCAAGTTTGCAAAATGTAACTAATGGCATGGGTGCAATGGAGGCAAAATTGGAGGAGAAAATGTACCGTGAAGAACTGGTACTCGAATGGAGTAGCAGTACCAATGATTCACAGAATGAGAGAGATGTTCTCAACAAGCTAAAACCTCATACAAACTTGAAACGCCTTGAGATTAAAAACTTTGGTGGCACAAGATTTCCAGATTGGTTGGGAGATAAATTATTTTGTAATATAGTGCATTTGTCTCTTGACAATTGTGAGTATTGCTTTTCCTTGCCACCATTTGGTCAGTTGGCCCCTTTGAAAGACCTTGAAATTTCAAGGATGCAAGGAATAACAAAGGTAGGCCGTGAATTCTATGGAGATAGTTCTTTAAGCAAACCATTTCAATCTCTAGAGACCCTTAGATTTAAAGAAATGTTGGAGTGGGTGGACTGGTATATATTAGAATCTGGAGAGTTCTCTAAGCTTAAAGAGCTTCAAGTAATCAAATGTCCAAAGCTGATTGGAGGCTTACCCAAACACATTCCATCTTGTGTGAGACTTGAGATTCGCGAATGCTCAAGACTTTTGTCCCAACTTTCGAATATTTGTGGCGCAGGCACAAGTGAATTAGTATTGAAAGGATGTGATGGGGTAGAATTGGGGTGTCGAGGTTTGTCTTCCCTTACAAAATTAGATATTTTAGATATGCCTAATTTGAAGGAATTGACACCCCAGCTGTGCACTTTAACAAATCTGAAGGAGTTTAGGCCATGTTTGTTTGGACGGACTGGATTATCATTCCCATGACTAATAGTCCTGGGATTACGAATCCGTTGGATTATGTATCCTATCTTAACTAAAAGTCAAGTTTAAAATAATTAGTCCGTACTTCAATTGTTTAACCAAATATCGGATTAATAATTTTATTGGACTATTAGTCCAATCCCAAGCTCATGTCCACCCAAACAAACATGGCCTTAGGGTAGAGAGTTGTCCAAGCCTATTGTCATTCCCAGATACAGGGTTTCCGCCCATGCTTACATACCTTTCAATTAGCTATTGTGAAGTTCTACATTCTTTGCCGCCGATACTTACATGCCTTCCGAAACTAGTGTTCCCCAGATCCAAGGATATGGAGAACTGCTACAAATCCCTTGAAACTTTGTTCTTATCATCATGTGATGCTCTCAAACCCATGTGGCTTGGATTCTTTCCAAAGCTTCGATCCCTAGGAATCCGGTTTTGTACGAATTTCAACAGTATTACAGATCTAAACATGCTTGGGCTCCAAAATTTGGCATCTCTCGAGTCACTTTTCTTAAGTGGGTTCTCTAATCTGATATCTTTTCCCCAAGGAGGACTACCCGGACTCAAGCTGACTAACTTTAGGATCCGGCAATGTAAGAAGCTCGAGTCGCTACCTGAAGGAATGCATGCCCTCTTCCCATCTCTTCAATCACTAGAATTAGTTGGTTGTCGAGAAATTAAGTCTTTTCCAGAAGGTGGGCTTCCCTCCAGCTTACGTTCACTTGAAATCCAAAATTGCAGCAAACTTACTGTTCGCCGAAGAGAATGGGATTTGCAAAGGCTCCCTTCTCTTAGACACTTCAGATTAGTAGGTGGAGATGGGGTGGAGTCCTTTCCGGAGGAGGGGTTGTTGCCCGCGACTCTTATGTCACTCCGCATTGATTATCTACCAAATCTGAAATCGTTGAACAACAGGGGCCTTCAACTCCTTGGCTCTCTCAAATACATTAAGATTCTGGGATGCCCTCAGCTCCAATCCTTGGTCGAAGAGGGGCTTCCCACCTCTCTCTTTATGCTGGAATTCTTTGGCTGTCCAATGCTAAAACCTCGTTACCTCAAGGGGGAAGGACAGGACTGGCATAAGATTGCTTGTGTCCCTGTCATACACATGGATGGTGAAGTGATCTTTGACCAACTCACTCTTCGTCCAGCAATGGATTCTCAACCTGGTACACTGTACGTACTTCCACATTCACTTCACAAGCTAATAGTTCTATTTTATTTTTTGTTTTTTTGTTTTTTTGTTTTTTTTGTCTGTCTATATTGATCATAAGGTTGGCTTTGAGTAATGATATACAAATAATAATATTTTGAATTTTTTTGATTTGTTTTTTTAAAATATTAAAAAATATTTAAGAAAAATTATTTTTTTATTTTAAATATATAATTGTTATTTTAAAAAATTCAAATTTTAGATATTTTATTTTATTTTGTAAATATTTTAATTTAAAATATTTTTGGGTGTCCACACAGTCCCGCCATATAGTAGCCGGCGAAAGTGGAAAAATGATTTTTGGGTGTCCACACAGTCCTGCCGTATTGTAGCCGGCAAAAGTGGAAAAACGGATGGTTTTCGAAAATGTTTTGGGTGCCCACATCCTACCGTATAGTAGCCGGCTAATGTGGGGGATGGTTTTTGGAAAGAGATGGTTTTTGGAAGAAACTGGCATTTGAGAAAAAGGTTTTTGAGAGTTCACTTCTCGGCGTATAGTAGCCGGCAAAAGGTGGATTGTGTTGATATATGTGTTAAGTTGATGATGAGATTGTGACTTGTGATGAATCTGTGACCTTGTAAATTGATGTGTATATTGATATAAAAAGGAAATGTATATAGACATTATTTGTAATGTATGGAACCCAAAATGACTAAGGGGATTAGGGATTGGTAATGGTGAATATAACGAATCAGTTGTGACAATAAAGGTAAATTGTGAATGTTGTTCTGTAAATAAACAAAAGATTGAATTTAAAGGGGTTCATTAATCTTGTGTCATCTTGAAATGAAATTTTAGAGTGTAATTAACGGTGTAAATTGAGTATAGGAGAATCATTAATAAATTAAAAAGGGAAACTAAACTTGACGTGATGGAGTTTATTTAAATATAATGAGACGAAAAGAAGAATGAAAAAAAAAGAGGAATATTAAACATGGAAAAGTAAATGTGAAATATTTTGGAATGAGTTAATAAATATAAAATGATGTGGTCCCTTACACATAAATGTTTTAAAAAGGATTTATGGTTTTCTAATGAAAATGGATAGTTTTGATAGTTGAAGGTTTTCCTTAAGGGTTCAAATGAATTTTTGAGAAAAAAGATATTCTATGCAAGGTATTTCGAAATTATAAAATGTCACCCTACGATATGGTACCACCTTGCATGCATAATCATTTCTATCTGTGTTTGCTATTGACTTAGAACTATGAGACTCCTACTGGGCATTCGTGCTCACCCCTGTTGTTTTTATCTTTTTACAGGAAGTAGGTGTGGAATCTGTTATTGAAGAGATAAGAAGTCTAAGTGTCGTTTATATGTAATTCCCTTGTAGATGTAATGGATCTTATAATTGTATTATATTTATTTGTAACATCTCCGTAGGAGATTGTCATGTATCATTGTTAGCATTGTATTCATTGAGAGAGAGAGAGAACGTGTATCATTGTATCTCTATTACTCAAGTGTAATAGATATTTGTATATGTATAAAAAAAAAATGTACCCAAATTACAAGCTTTGGTAATGTTTCCGAGTAATTTAAAATTGGGGCGTGACAAATTTTATGGGTTAGCAATGAATATAAAGTACAGTAGATACAATAGTGAATTAAAAAACAAAGCTTTTATTAACAAAGCAAACAAATGATGCATTATAAAAGCAAATGTTTCATTAACATGAATGCTCATATTGAAAGCACAAATGTAACAATGAATATGACACAAAGTTACAATATCATATCATTTCTTCATCATCCTCAAATTGTGTCTATGTTGATATCCCAAGAGGTCCAATAGTTTCATCAATAGTTGTTCCAAATTCACCTTGCCTAACCCAATTTATGTCCTCCTCACAAGCAAAGAAAGTTGCATCTAACTCTTGGTCAACAAATCCTTCCACTTCATTGTGATGTACTTGATCATTAGTTGGTTGTTCTCTACACACCTCATACAAGCCTCTAGGTTTCATATTGACTTCAACATCCCAATCAGCTTCAACAGGATCATTAGCATAAAAGACTTGTTGTGCCTGAGATACTAGGATGAATGGCTCATCGCTATTTTGTTTCTTTGCATATAACAAATGATTAAAATTAACAAGTGTGAAAGCAAAACAATCTTTGCTTCAGTCCTTTGTTGTTGTCAATCTAGTCACACATGAATAGAACGTACCTATGGTCGTATGAGTAATAGAATTCAATAATATCTGTCACATATCCATAGTATGCTACTTCACCTTCCATAGGATTCATGTCTCTAGTACGTGCATAGCTATAAATCTTTGCTTTCACCAAAACCCCACTATTTTGAGATTTTCTTCTACACTCCCAATTCATTGTATGATACCTAGTACCGTGTTATAGCGATCCCGAGTTTGTCCCCTTTATGTACAGTGTTCCGGTCGTAGGTTCCATGGAGTTGGTGGTTGTATGCCTTGTTGTCATCCTTTAGATTCCGTATGTCTGAGTTTTAGGATGTGTTGGGCGTGTTTCGAACAGGTTGGTTGAGTCTTAGTCCCTTTCCTTGTTGCCCAGAGTTTTGGTGGTACGCTCGAGCGGGTACCTTTGCGCTCGAGCGGAGGTGGATTTTTGGCTGTACGCTCGAGCGGACCATATCACGCTCGAGCGGAGTTCTCACACTTCCAGTATCGGTGCCTCAGTAAAACTTCTGCAGATGTGTTTTTCACGCTCGAGCGGGTTTCCTTACGCTCGAGCGGGGTGTACATTGTCTGCGAAAGTTCTGAGAGGGGGTAATCAACGCTCGAGCGAACTGGTTTTCGAGCTCGAGCGGATACTTTTTGTTCTTGTGTCTTGGCGCTCGAGCAGGCCTTTTTGCGCTCGAGCGGGTCCAGTTTTTGTGCTTGACGCTCGAGCGTTCTATTCTACGCTCGAGCGGATCATGCATATATCAGTTGGCAGCTGGGCATTCTTGCATCACTTTTCAACATCCTTTCTCTCTCTTACTTTTTCGAAAAAGCTATTCAAGAGCTTCCCTCACTAAAACTCAACTTCTCTCTTAGGATTGATCTAGTTAGATTGTTCTCCTACCCTTTGGCCTTTACAAAAGTTGTGTTGATCGTCGAGGGCTACGTTTTGATCCGAGCATATTGAGTTTTGGAGCACTTTGGGTTTCGTCATCTTCTCCCTTTGAGCTCCGAATTTGAGGTAGGGATATCCTACTCCATCTTATGAGCTTTGTCTTTGAATTTTGGGACTTTGATATGTTTGGGGTCGTTGGGTAATTTTGAGAAAGTTTAGGTCTTTGTGTAATTTTTACAAAAGTTGGGGTTTCATTTATTATTACCTATATGCACGTTGGGCATAGAGAAATGAGATAAATGTTGGATAGTTGATGGGAATGAAACCTCAGGGTTGTTTTGTTAATTATAGGAAATGCCCTAATTGCATTGTTAAATTAATTTGTGAAATAAATGTGAGAAATGAGAAATGGAATTTAAAATGTGGGAATTGGGGATGTATGGGATTAAAGGGTGTAGTTGGA